GATACAACTAATGTTCGTTCATACAAAATGACAGTTACACTATCCTTCCCGAATGAAAATTTAAATCGGAAACGATTATTTACAGTAATAATTTTCAGCATTGTTTTCCAGAAAACCATCATCTACCTTTCTAACGTGTCATTCAAAAAAATGTTTAGAGAGATTAAGTACCTAATGAGAGAATCGCATAAGGTGTTGTGGATCTTCAATTATGGCATCAAATCAATGGGTGAGGCGATATTTGGATAACGGGACTTGAGCGATTGGTGCATATGTTTTAAGGATGTTATTGCTCTGTGAGTGAATACAATAAATGAGACATCTTAGTATTTTAGACTGCGGGGTGCGCGATAGACTTACCTCCATGTGGTGCACTCCGGGCAACGTATACTCATAAGGCAAAAGTCTATTGACTGGCAGTTGATTTCTCACTTCAAACTACCATGACCCCACTGTATGCCACAGTCGGCCCCTTCACAGTACTCATCTTACCTTTTCTCTACCTTTGTGTCTCTCTGTCTATTTTACATCTGTGAATCATTATTTTGTCCCCCTCTCGAGTTTTTGTCACTTTGATGTTCCTCCTCCTCTCCGCAAAGCCTGAAGTCAACTAAAGGGCTAATGATAACTATCAAAACGCCTACCTGAAGTCAGCTAAATGGCTAATGATAACTATCAAAACGCCTCCTGATAACTATCAAAACGCCTGTCATTTCTGCTTCTTTGATGAACCTTCCCTCTGTAAAGCCCGAACTATGCTACTTTGATGAACCTTCCCTCTGTGAAGCCCGTAGCTCTTTTTGTCACCTTGATGTTTCTCCTCCTCTCTATGAAGACCGAAGTCAGACTTTGATGTTTCTTCCACTCTGTGAAGCCTGAAGTCAACTAAAGGGCTAATGATAACTATCAAAACGCCTGCCATTTGAGATAAATAAATAACTATATTAGCCTGCTATTTAGGAAAACGCAGTTAAGCGAAAATGGTTGAAACGAATGGTTTTAAAGTGGCTGACCAAATTTATAGCGTGATGAGGGTTATTAGATTTGCCACAAAACGTAATCACCTAGTTTTAGGACACAGATGGTTGATTTGTTGTTAGCGGAGGTGAGTTAGGGAGATGACATGAAAAATAGCAAACGGGCAATTAAATGTCACGGTTGGAAAATTAATAGGAACAAATTTGAGAAAGGAACTACTTCCACAAACATATTCATTCAGTAAGAAGAGCAATTCGGCAAACTTGTCAATAAATAAAAAGACCATCATATCCTACAAGACGCCAAGGGTTTAGAGCGAACGGGTTGATTACTGAGATCGCAATTTAAATCTCAAACGAAAATAGCTGAGGCCATAAATGCCCACTTTGAACCCATTCGAAATACCGTTTTAATTTGTCTTAATTTAACTTACTGTCATCCCAGGTTTTACATACTTTTGGGCCATTCTTTCAACCATGTCTTAACACTTTTCTTTGGGTAGACTTTGTTTTCCTTATCTCTCGACTACTCACCTTCAGAGGTGGAAGTTTGACAAGCGTAGAATATGCACACGACTAAATACTCAAATATTTGTTTAAAATTCATCTAGTACCTGGTGGTCAAACCAACTCTTTAGTAATAGTATTAATTAATTAGCTATCTACTTTAAAATAAACACAGCCTGATCCCTTCTACTTAAATTTTAATCATTTTGTATGATCTCTGAAATTGGTACCTCACATTTAATTACCGTGTTAATTTGGATTGCCCTTAAGTAAAAATAGGGTGAAAATCGATTTTCGTAAAATTGAATAATTCTTTCCTAATGAAAAATCCGTGTTTCCATTTACGCAATTTACCATTATTATTTAGCATAAAATTAGTCAATTAGGCATTGAGTTATCAAAATAGCCATTAACTACATTATTTCCTACCGCCTAACACATAATTAAGTCGACAGTTCCACCTGCGTGCAATTTGGTCATGGCTTGAGTCGGCTTCATAAATACTCACACATCGTAATTATAGGCTGCAATCTTTTAAGTTGAATAACTACCTCAGCCCCGTCTCACTTTAGAATAGACAGAATTGCTCACTTAAAAATAATTGCTGCCCACTACTTTATGAATCCGTTGATGTTAGCATCCAATGTAGCTAAAACTCATTCGTTAAGACTTCCACAATGGGGACGATAAATAAAATTAATGCAGATATTGACCATAACGGTCAATTAATCGATGGACTTTCCTCCACGTGCTGCATCCTGAGCAATGTACACTCATACGACCAAATGCATCGACAAACAGGCTGTTTACTTCAAGCTACAATGACCCAACTTAATGTCAAATTCGACCACTTTCACAGTACTCATTTCACTTTACCTTTTTCTCTACCTTTGTGCCTGTCTCTTTAACATCTGCGAATCACTCCTCTGTTCCCCCTCTCCACATTTTGTGACTTTAATGTTCCTCCCCTCTGTGAAGACCGAAGTCAAATAAAAGGCTAATAATAACTATTTTAAAGCCTGCCACTTGATATAAATAAAATTTTTGACCAAGGGCAGACTTTCGCTCTACACTGCATTAATATTTTTTGTCATTATTTTAACTCAAAAGATTTAGGCAAAGTGAGTTGAGATCCGCTTTTGCCAGAGAATGTTTTAGAAGCTAAAATTCTTCAAACTCGTCTGTAAAGAAAAACCCATTCTTTTTTGCCAGTTAAGTCTACCACTTCCACCGATCGGAGCATAGGCAAGTCAATATGAAATAGCTTTTATGAGAACTCCACAATCTGCCTGATTACGTTGTCAGATTCGGCCAGTACACTTCGTCGTTCTTATCATCAAATGCACAGAGGTGAGCAACGATCTTACAAACCACAGACTTATCAGACGCGCATTTACACCATAGTCATCTATTTTGTCTGAAATAGGATATAATAAAGCGCTAGGAATCCAGGAAAAGTAACCAAAGCGATTTCCATTACAAAGCACAATCGAACAGTAGTCAGAAATTGGAATCATTTCAATGAAACCCCCAAAGAAATTGTTTTCTGTCGCAAAAATCCAATATATATGCGAAAATATTGCATGATTTACGTAATACTGACTGATAACTGAACGGCATAAGAGATTCCCCGCCTTAGGTATATTTCAAAGCACAAAGCTCTTTATCTTCGCTTTTGTAGCTACGCAGTTTCTTGGAGAGTACATAAATGGTACAAAGATCAGGGAGTGAGATCTGTACTCATGTCGGTTCAAAAAGGTAAAGAGGATGATCAAATTCAATAACTTTCAAATAATCTATTTAATGAAGCAGTGCTCATACTGTTTTATCCACTTGACAAACAGATAACTTAAAAAAGTATTGTAGACAATTAGCAAACGAGACCGACGTTTTCCCTCAGGCCAAAGCGAAATATAGTTTGAGATTTAATCTACTTGACGAGAGAACATTCACTCATTATATTATTAATAACTGCCCTTAAATTCTTTTCAGTAAAGACAGATAGACACAAAAGCAGAGAAAAGATAAGATGAGTACTGAGGAAGTGGTCGATTATGATACACAATGGGGTCATGGTAGTTTGTAGTTAGAAGTCAAATGCCGGTTTATGGACTTTTTGCCGTATGAGAATACGTTGCCCAGGATGCACCACATGGAGGTAACTCTATCGCACACCCCACTTTGTGGCAAATAATAGATGAACGTTCGATGCTTGTCTCAATTAACTTTTTACGAGTTCTATTCGAAGATTCTTTGATCGTAAAACTAGCCTGAGTATCATCAGTTTTCTACAGCCCTTCTTGATGTCATGCTTTATGGCTTCAACTACTCGGGTTTTATCTTTCACACATAATAGAACTAACTGAACAATTTGCATGTCCATTTAATTGAATATATGACAGTTATAGATTTGAATCAAAATGCAAAACTATTTTTGGTTAAACGATTTCGTGAGAATATTTGTCTAATATTACTTTGTCTCCCCATGGAGCTTTAGCAAACCCAATCGATTTAGGCATAAGGTGTGGGTCGCTTTGCATATTCAAAATGACCCAATGTAAACACGAATCCTACAGCACTCAAGGGCTAGATTCAAATTCCATCGGGCAACATTGAATCTCAATAATATGATTCATTAATGCAATAAGAAAGATCATTTGCCCCCTTTGAATCCTTGTCTGAGGCGATTCGGTATTGATTTAGCGAATATTAGGGATGAAGTCCTTATTTCGTGGAGAGAGGGAACAGAAGAGTGATTTAATGATGTAAAAGAGACAGAGAATAAAGTTAAGATGAGTACTGTGAAAGTGGTCGAATATGATACGCAGTGGGGTTGTGGTAGTTTGAAGTCAGAAGTGAACTGTCGGTTTATAGACTTTTAGCCGTATGGGCATACGTTGCCCAGGACGTACCACATGGAGGTAAGTCTATCGTACACCCCGTCAAAGGTTATATCAGATTGTACTGGTCGACAACTTAGTGGTTCAATGAAATTTTTATTTAAAAGCTTGGAAGAGTGACGCATTTATTACGTTGAGATTCTCAAGAAAAAATTATACGATAATATAATCTCATGTCTTTAACGCAACATGGGAAAAGAAGATCATTTATTTATCCTGATCGTACTACTTGCCTCGCACGCTTCGTAACTTATTTTAGTTCATTCCAAATTTTTACATTTTTTATCCACTTTTGTAAAGGGAAAATTTGAATTATAAAATGGGCTCGAATTTAAAATTTCTCAAGCTTCGATTAAAATAACCTTGAAATAAGACATTTCTATACATTTTCAAATTTTATCAATTCCATAGGGTAGGCTAAAGTACTTGAATCTATTGCAACCTCAGGACTCGTACTAACCTCACAGTGGCCATTGAAGTGCCTAATCCTCTGGTGACCTTAGATTTTCCCCAGAGAGTCGTCGTGACTCTTCAAGTGGCCTATTTTAATCTGAAACTTTAGAAACTTACGTGGTGCTTGAGCAAGCGATGTTAGGGCTCGATTTCCTCGAAAGTGATGTCCGAAGCATCCCGTTTGTGTAAGCTGTTCGCTCTCTATGTCACTGTATATAGTCCCTTTCATGAACACACACACACACATATTTGTCACGTGTCTACTTACACAGTTTTCTCTCAACGCCTCCTCTCTACTCCATTCTCCATCAGTTTTGCCTTATCATCGCAATTTAACCCTAAATCTCTTTTATTCATTTTCATGTTATGTCTTTAATGTGCCATACAGTCCCTCTTAACATCCCCTTTAGGCGGCAACGCAATTTTTATAATGATCTGCCACAAGGGCTAATGATAAATATCATAAAGCCTGCCATTTAGAATAAATAAATAATGATCTGCCAAGTTAAATCACCACCACATAACACCTATACTAAAAACATTGATTTTTTTAAATGTTGGCAAGATGTCTTATTCACTTTCAATGAATTAATGAATACCGAGGACTAGAACTTACAATGACTCAAATCAAAGAATAATTATTTCAGCAAACTAATTTCCCCATAAACCTGTCCTATTAAATCCCAACTTTTGTTTTAATTATTAAAGTCACTTCAGGACGGACCTAGACTTTCGATGGAAATTTAGTTATTAAAAACACCACAAACCAGGATGCTTTGACAAAACCTCAATTTCATAGGATTTTGATGCGTCATATTTTCACTCATTCTATCAAGGCAATGAACGGGTCGAGACCTATAGAATAAAATATCCCTGGCCTTTGGAACACCGATACACTTCCCCATGTCATTTCGATAAATGAATGCTTGGAGATTAATTTATGCTTTCTTACAGTCAAGGGGTGGGCTCATGTTCATGAAATTTTTGCTTTAAGTGTACAACAAATGATCATTTTTTTTTAACTGGCGATACTTAATCAGATATCTAAGAGCGTGCATGTCCTACTCTTCCAACTCTCTGCCCTACATTGTTTCTGAGAAATAGAATTCATGAAGTTAGTCGTCACGATTTATTTTTGCATTTTCACCCCACAATATTATTTTTTCAAATGGCAGGCTTTATGATATTTATCATCAGCCCTTATACTCTGACTTCAGCTTCCCCATTATCATTACCCCTTAATCTTTGACTTCAGCTTCCCCTAAAGGGTATCATTCGCAATTTAACTTTGACTTCAGCTTCCCCCAAGGAAGGGTGGGTACATTTATAGCAGTTAATTAATAGCAGTTCATGGCGGTACATTTATAGCAGTTAATTAATAGCAGTTCATTAGCCCGGACATTTATAGCAGTTAATTAATAGCAGCGTAGCTTTGACTTCAGCTTCCCCCAAGGGTGGGGGGTACATATGTTGACTTCAGCTTCCCCCAAGAGGGGGGGGGTACATTTAAAGCAGTTAATTAATAGCAGTTCATTAGCAGTCTTCTTGCTTACCTTAATCTTTGACTTCAGCTTCCCCAAGAGGGGGGGGGGGTACATTTATAGCGGTTAAAATAGCGGAAAAACTTTGACTTCATCTTCCCCCAAGGGTGGGGGGGGGGGTACATTTATAGCCTTAATCTTTGACTTCAGCTTCCCCAAGAGGGGGGGGGGGTACATTTATAGCGGTTATTAACACAGCCCATGGGTGGGGGGTACATATATAGCAGTTAATTAATAGCAGACATTAGCAGTCTTCTTGCTTCCCAGTATCTTTGGCTTTCCTGTAGCTGTCTTCTTGCTTCCCAGTATCTCTGGCTTTCCGTAGCTGTCTTCTTGCTTCCCAGTATCTTTGGCTTTCCGTAGCGGTACATTTATAGCAGTTAATTAATAGCAGTTCATTAGCCCGGACATTTATAGCAGTTAATTAATAGCAGACATATATAGCAGTTAATTAATAGCAATTCATTAGCTGTCTTTTTGCTTCCCAGTATCTCTGGCTTTCCGTCCATTAGGGCTGGACATCGAATCAGGTGGGTCTTCTCCATTTCAGCTGGACATCGAATCAGGTGGGTCTTCTCCATTTCCTCCTCCTGGACACCGAATCAGGTCCTATCGTTGTCTTTAGGGCTGGACACCGAATCAGGGGGGGCTGTCCTTGTCTTTAGAGCTGGACACCGAATCAGGTGGGTCTGCGTTGTCTTTAGAGCTGGACACCGAATCAGGTGGGTCATCACCATTTCCTCCTGTAGGTTACATAGAGGGCATGTGGGTTGAGTGTATGGTAGGTTACACAGAGGGCATGTGGGTTGAGTGTATACTCTCTTAGATTAAGAATCAGATGGGTCTTCTCCATTTCCTCCTGTAGGTTTCACATCAGGTGGGTCTTCTCCATTTCCTCCTGTAGGTTACAGATCAGATGGGTCTTCTCCATTTCCTCATGTAGGTTACATATGGTGGGTCTTCTCCGTTTCCTCCTGTAGGTCACATAGACAGGTGGGACTTCTCCATTTCCTCCTGTAGGTTACATAGAGTATGTGGGTTGAGTGTATACTCTCAATCTGTGAAGGTGTTTTGATTGTATACTCCTAATCTGTGAAGGTGCTTCGCCAGATTTCCTCCTGTAGGTTACATAGAGGGCATGTGGGTTGATCGCTAGACACCGAATCAGGTGGGTCTTCTCCATTTCCTCCTTTGAACACCGAATCAGGTGGGTCTTCTCCATTTTCTCCTGTAGAGAATCAGATGGGTCTTCTCCATTTCCTCCTGTAGGTTTCACATCAGGTGGGTCTTCTCCATTTCCTCCTGTAGGTTACAGATCAGATGGGTCTTCTCCATTTCCTCATGTAGGTTACATATGGTGGGTCTTCTCCGTTTCCTCCTGTAGGTCACATAGACAGGTGGGACTTCTCCATTTCCTCCTGTAGGTTACATAGAGTATATGTGGGTTGAGTGTATACTCTCAATCTGTGAAGGTGTTTTGATGGTTGAGTGTATACTCCCAATCTTTGAAGGTGTTTTGCCAGGCAATCCGTCCGTACGTAGTCTAAACTCAGCAACGGCTTCGATTCTTGGCCAAAGTCTAAGACTCAGCAACGGCTTCGATTCTTGGCCAGTCGGGTATGTTGAGAGTGCCACTGTCCACTGTTTCTCCTTTGTTCGAGCTTCTAGCAACGGCTTCGATTCCTGGCCAGTCGGTTCGAAGAGTGCCACTGTCCACTGTTTCTCCTTTCTTCGAGGTAAGACTCAGCAACGGCTTCGATTCTTGGCCAGTCGGCAACGGCTTCGATTCCTGGCCAGTCGGTTATATCGGAGAGTGCCAACTGTTCTCCTTTGTTCGAGCTTTAAGTTCGTTGCACCTTGACTGTATACTCCCAATCTTTGAAGGTGTTTTGCCAGGCAATCCGTCCGGTACGTAGTCTAAACTCAGCAACGGCTTCGATTCTTGGCCAAAGTTAAACTCAGCAACGGCTTCGATTCTTGGCCAGTCGGGTATGTTGAGAGTGCCACTGTCCACTGTTTCTCCTTTGTTCGAGCTTCTAGCAACGGCTTCGATTCCTGGCCAGTCGGTTGTTTCTCCTTTGTTCGAGCTTTAATTTCGTTGCCCTGCACATTGAGGTCGGTCTCTCCTATAATCTCCTGTGTTCGAGCTTTAATTTCGTTGCACCTTGAGGTATGTATTCTCTTCTGATTAAGGCCTTCATTGTGTGGAAAGACATAGGGCGGTCCATGCATTGCAAAATCGTTGACCCCTTCTTACCAAGTGCGTCAGCAAGCTCATTGCCTTTAATGCC